TATCATGTCCGCATCTTGTACACTAGGAAGAATGTATGCAATGTGTTAATTATTGAAACTGTCCTACCAATTTGATTTGAAACTGTCTCATTGCTATTGTTTCTCAATAAAATTATGGAAAAAAAAAAAAAAGAGGGAAGACACATCCTGGGTTTGGGTGGTACCAAGAAATAGACTTGTAGCTGGGATGTAATAAAAAAGAAAGGAGGCAGGCTGCTGCTTTCAGTCTGCTATGCTATGGACTGCTTCTCCTCTGTCATGTTACCCTGGCTTTGTGCCAGCTGACTATGCATTGAAACCTCTTCAATCTATAAGCTAAAAAAAACCCCTTTCCTCCTTTAATTTGTGAGTGTATTTTGTTTCAGCAATGAGAGAGTAACTAAGACACAGGGAAAAGTAAAAAGAGGGAGAAGAGGTTATGAAACACAAAATGAAACTTATCCTTTGTTAAAATTAGGAATATTTAAATTATATCAATTTCTAAAAGTACCATTTAAATAAAAGGTAGTGGGCTGGGGAGATGGCTCAATAGGATAAGCGCTTGACTGGCAAACGCAAGGATCTGAGTTCAATCCCCGGTTCCGGGAAAAAAAAAAAAAAAAAAAAGTAGTTATAGCTTATTTAAATGACAAATTATTCCCCAGACATTTTTCTCAATGAATTTGGTGACTATTTTTTGCTTACCATTATTAATGCTTTTACAAATGTCTCCTATGCCCCCAGAATGATCGGGATGCCAGTGAGTCACCAGGATTTCCTGGATTCCTGTGTTAAATTCAAGCAGAGCCTGCTTTAAATAGCTGATATATTCTGGAATTGATGGTTCTCCAGTGTCAATGAGGATTCTCCTAAAAATTAAATGGAAGGTAATTACATAATTGCATCACAAATTTAATAAGCATATTCCCCATACAAACTATACTAAAGAAACTTTATAAATTATTTTGCTTTCAACATGCTAAGAAACCAGTTATATGTTATTTTAGCTTAACTATGATAATCTTTCTATAAGAAAGTTCTTTGAAACAAATTAGAGATAAGTCTGAACAAGTAATAATAGTAATAATCTTGAATACATACACAGCAACTAAAATAAACATGCACTGTTCTACATGGTAATTGTTTAAGGGATATATTTCATTATTATATTCAGAAGTTAAATAACTTGGCCAAATATATATCCTAAATATTACTATCACTAGAAGTCACTCGTGAACTCAACATTCAAGCCCAGCTATTCTGGATACTAGTATCTATGCTCTTATTACCTGACCTTCCAGATCTTTTATATATTCCCATAGACATAAAAGAATCTGATTCTTTACATCCCTAAAGAAAACTGGCCTTCTGCACTAGATATCTACCACTCAAGTTTTACACTTGTGCCTCTACACATGTAAAGGCCTGTAGGAAGATAGAGAAAAGGTCCTAGCTGTTTTCTTTACTTAGACAATTCTGTTAGGGTTTTCTTTCTTTCTTTCTTT